AACAGGTGAACGTCACAGGAGGAGATGCTATTACTACAGTGGAAAGGAGGGCTCAGCCTCAGCCTCTTATGTTACTCAAGTTTTCAGACACTGTCTATGGGTGATTCATTAAGGTTCTTTGTTTTACCTGTTTACTCCTTTTTTTTGGCCAATTAGCTATTTTATAAGCACCTATATCCTAAGATACAGCTTAGAAATCATAGCAGATAAAAATGGTCACCACTAGCTATGTTTCTAGAGGAAAAAAAAATACGTGTGTGAAGTTTTTAAGTTACCTATAGTCTGTCGTGTTGTTTTTGTGCTTCTACTCATTCAGAGGGCGAGCTGCCAGGGTCTGACTTACCCAGGGAGGTACGCAGGGCTGCATACATTGGGACCTTCCCCCTTCCTGTTGCCCTTCCATCTTACAGCCAGCACATTGCTAAAACATGAAACTCTGTAATTTCAGTTTAATTGGGATACTGCCCCTTACTCAAATACAAATGCTCTTAGGAGAGGCTGTATATTAAGAATTTATCAATCATTAAGACTTTTGTGGTAGAGCATTTTTTGGCCTGTGTAACCAGTGAAACAGCTTGCCAAGAACAGATTTTATTTCCCCAAGGAGAGACTAGAGCAAGAGATCCACATCTGTGGTAGGGATCGGGCACACCAGATCATAGTACCTGGAGCTGACGGGGAGAGTCCCATGAGAGGAAGAGAGCATTGTCAGTAGTAGGAAAATTTAACAGGAAGATGGAAGAAGACAATAGCTAATGTTAGCTTCACTATTCTTGCTCAAGTCCAACCCTCTATAGGAAAACCCTCTCTCTGGCCAGGTTGGCAAGCACTCCCATGATTTGCTCGGACAGACCTTACAACCCCTGTGTTACAGATTTTCTGTGACACTCCTTTTACATGTAGTGATGACATGACTTATCATCCTCATTGTGGCAACAGACATGCCAGACTGGCTGTATTAAATCTTTTTAACAGTGTCTGGATCTACAGATGATGAGTGTCACTGCCTCTTAAGATGCCCCCACTTAATGGGGTAAGACTCATGATGACTTTCCTTTTGTGTGTTATTTTTTTTGTGCTGCACAGGTGAGATGCTGAGAGGCATGTGGGATGCTGTAGTTTCTAGTTCAGTTTCCTTTTTCCTATTGTGTACAAATCTTTTATTTGGCTGGGTTAGTTACCTAGGCAACAGCTGCAGGGTACAGATGGATTGGCGGTTTGGGAACTAGAAATACATACAGGCCCCTTCAAGAGGCAAAAAGACCTGTTGGATAAAACAAAAATTAGTGAATGGCTAAGCTTGTGCTTAAAAAGTGTACAGAAGCCACACTAAGACAGCTCTTTAGGAGAGAACTTATTTAATGCAGTGCAATTTTAAATTTAGCTTGTTTTTAATACACTTAAACTCAGTGCGTATGAATTCTGCTGCAGACCATTTTGGGGTTTCCATTGGAGTGGAAAGTACAGTTCCCTCCTCTGAAAAGCTCATGTCCTGTTTGGGGATAAAAAGAAGCTACCTTAAAATAAGTGTATGGTTGTGTGATACAGACCAAATGTGTTAAGGGAATTTAGAGGAAGTAAAAGATCTTGACTGCCAATGTGGGTGATGAGTCTGAAGCTACATACAGGCAGGAAATAATTCCTTGAGGTAAAATACTAAATTTGAAGGCCTGGTGAAAGTCTGGGTACTAACAGTACCTGAATTTATGAAATTTAATAGTAACAGCACAGTTAGCCTTAGAGATTCCCCCAGTCAGCTTATGGAAAATATATGACTATGATACAAATGTTGTTGACTTAGAGTCTTAAGAAAATGAATTCTAACAACAATGTTGACTGACCACTATAAATGGTATATTTATATTGTATATTTAAGGAAAGTGTGAGCATATTAGTTGTTGAATCTCTGACTGCTACTATGCTGAGCACGAGAGACACTCAGTAAAATATTTGTGTATTGATTTTCTTATATACAGTATGCCTTCTGTTTGTCGATTAGCATTAGCTTTTTTTCTTCTAGAATAGAGCTGCTGAATATTTGGTTTTGATTTATTGTGATAAGTAATTTTATAAATACAGGACTATAGCTATTCTTTTAAAGTTAAACCTCTGTCAGGTTATTTGCAGTTTTGTAGAAGGTGTTGCTATAATTTTCATACTTGTTCTGTTTGTAGTCACTTGGTGTGGATTGCTAGACAGACGAGGGAGGAAGAGAAAAGCAATTCCACTGAGAATCTACAGGCACAGGAGGTTAAGTTAAATTTAATTTCTAATGCCAAGAGAGTAAGAGTATCAACATAACGATACTCAGAGAGAGTTCAGTTATGATATACTGAACCTACAGTTTTTAATATTTGCCAGTAAAAAAAAATCAAATGTAAATAAAAGTTCACTAGGTATGTAGAGTTACCTTTGTAACTGTACAGACTTTGTATGTTAAGTAGAGAAGAAAATTGCTGATACAAGAATCCATAGGCCAGGCGCAGTGGCTCACACCTGAAATCCCAGCACTTTTAAAGGCTGAGGGAGACAGATCACAAGGTTAAGAAATTGAGACCATTCTAGCCAACATGGTGAAACCCTGTCTCTACTAAAAATACAAAAAAATCAGCTGGACATGGTGGCACATGCCTGTCGTCCCAGCTACTTGGGAGGCTGAGGCAGGAGAATCGTTTGAACCCAGGAGGCGGAGGTTGCAGTGAGCCAAGATCGTGTCACTGCACTCCAGCCTGGCAACAAAGTGAGACTCTGTCTCAAAAAAACAAAAACAAAAAAACCAAAAGAATCCATAATATTGCATTTTGTCAGATGGTCTTTCATTGCCTGTAGTTTATTATTCCAGCAATTACATCCTTTATAATGGAATAGTGACTAGAAAAGGATACTTTGTTATACGTCTTTTGCTGAATGATCGGGAGTAGTTTCCTGTTAAGAGTTCTTGGGCACTGCTGTGAATGCCTTACTTCCAAAATTACAATAAAATGCCTTATCATGACTCTCCCTCTCCCTCAAGTTTTTTTTTCCAAGGAGACTTTTTAGTGTTTTTGTTTAAGAACAGTCATGCAATTCCCTGGTGCCTACTCACCCCTACCAAATCCTCGGCTCTCTTCTGGTTTCAAGCAATTAATTACCATGAAACTTAAAAGGTTAGCGATAAATAGTGTGACCATTATTTAACTGATTTACTTCAGTTTGGAGTATGAAGTCAAATCAGCTCCAAGTAGAAGCTGGTGGGGGTGTCAGGGCATAGTGTGGGGCATTCTTGTGAAGATTTATGTATTTTCTGTCCCGTCTGCCTTCCTCCTGCCTGTGACAGCCCCATAATTATAATGTTGCTTGCATCTTGGCAGGGATCACCAGATGGGTCTAATTATTAGATAACTTGGTAGAAAAAGTACAGCTTGTTTATTTTCTTCTCAGGAGTTATGGTCAGATAGAGTTAGCATTGGGGGCAAAGACTCCAACTCAACTTTGAGAGGACTGATTTCTTGCTTTATTTTATTTCAACAAGTTGCTATATTTCTAAAAATGTTATCAATGGCCAAACTCAAGTTGCAGAAAAGTACCCTCCTTTCAGCAGCCCCACCTACCGACACATGCACGTGGACACTCAAGTCCAGCCCTGCCCTGTCTTCTCCCACCAGGGTAGCTTCCCAAAATGACACTAGGAATTTCACCAGCTCCCTTCACAGAAGACATTTGTTCATGGCAAGTGCTATGATTTTGAGATCAATGCCTTTTCTATTTTTGTGTTGATATTGAAAAAATAATGCTGACCAGGCACAGTGGCTCCACCTGTAATCTCAGCACATTGGAAGGCCAAGGCAGGAGGATTGCTTGAGGCCAGGAGTTCTAGACCAGCCTGGGCAACATAGAGAGACCCCCATCTCTATTAATTAAAAAAAAAAAAAAAAAAGAATGTAGATGAAAAAGAAATCCCCCCAAATGCAAAAATCTACTATGTTTTTAATAGATCCAGAAATTTTCATTCCTATATTCTTAGTAAGTATTTTTCCATTTTCGGTTGCTCTTGGAAGGGGAAATAAGTAGTTTTTATTGAGAAGTAACAGTGTAAACATTCTCTTATTGAAGAAGATAAACTAATTACTCTGTCACCTTTCTAACCTGTTTTTATGAATTAATTCACCCCAAATTTGATTGGGGAAGCGTCCTTGGGTTTGACACGAGAACATATTTATGGAAAAATAATGCTTGATATTTTACAAAATCATTTTTATTTTGTTTAAATGGGGAGAGACATTTTAAGAATTGCTCTCATAATTTGCCTTTTTGATTTTCTGTGAAGCATGCCAGCCATGGTTTTGGCAGTATGAATACTTGTACACTATACAAAAATTGGGGAATATGCCAAATTTGGGACAGAGGGCCCTCCTATTTTTTCCAACATTTTCTTGAGTTTAGTGGAATACTACTTATATTGTAATATTCTTAGACCTTTTATCTTTCATAAATATATTGCTTCTAGCATTTAATATATTTATTTAATTTTATTTCTATATTACCATTAGGCGTTTTTCAAGTTTGTCTTCAATTTCCTGGAAAGTGATTTTCTTTGCAGCCAAAATGAAGTAATATACAATGAGTCTTGGATCTGGGAATCAAAAATTCCAGTTCTTTCTGCCGCTGTACAGGCTCAGTGAGGGCATGAACCTCATCCTGTCTGCTGTTATTTCCCTGGAGCCTAGAAGAATACCTGACAAAATTACTCAGAAAATCATTTAATGAATGCCTGAGTGAACTGCCTGTTTTGACTTTTCTGAGGTCATTTGTTGTTTTTTAAGTTCACTTTGTATGTTAAACTAAGTATTACTAGCTTATGAACTACAGCAGAATGCTGAAGAATAGGACTTAGGGGATTTAAGCGCTTGAATGACCCACAAAGAGATGAATGAGATTTAAGGACTAAAGGTGTGGTGGTGAGGAATATTCCCTGGCAGGCCAAACCCACTAAAGTATCCCCACCTTTTGCATCTCCACAGGAGCACTCACTGTGGGCCTCGTGCGACAGTGTCAAACAATCCATGGACGAGACCGGACGTGCATCCCTCCCCGGCTTCCCCCGGAGTGGGTCACCACACTGTTTTTTATCATCATGGGAATCATTTCATTGACTGTCACATGTGGTTTGCTGGTGGCGTCCCACTGGCGAAGAGAAGCTACAAAATATGCTCGATGGATAGCATTCACTGGAAGTAAGTAACCTGTGCTTACTAAGTTTGTCTAGAAGGCACCCACACTGGTATTTTTATGAAGATAATCAAGAATCAGTAATAAGGACTTCATAATCATCAAAGAACGCCACTTGTGTATGGCCGTGAGATAGACTCTACACAGTCCCATCATTTCTTCAAAACTTCCTGCAAGACCAGGACATCCACAACTTTAATCGCTTTGTATGAAATGCTATTTTAATGAATTTTATTTTTGCAGAGATTGTGACATAAGTATTCCAGGTTTGTGACTCAGAGTTACCAGTAGCCTGAGTCTTTTCCTCTTCTTGAAGCTATTGGTATCATCTATCAAAACAAAGATATAGAACAAATACGTAAAAATATAAGTTAGATGAAGGTGGTGATATATTTTTTAATGTTGACTTTGAGTTTCTGCTGTATGTTGTAACCACTGGAAAAATCAACACATTTGGTTATTTAATAATTGTTTATCAGCATTTCTTACTCCATTAAGCTCAGCCCAAGGGTATAAGTTTATATATTACACATTCGCTTGTACTTTGCAAAATTGGTTTAATTTCAAAACACGTCAGAGACTTAAGTTAAACAGAAGAAACAAAAATGCATGAAGAAAAGACATTTCTGCAATTCTGCTTTCATGCTTCTTTCTCTCCAAAGCAGTTTTGCACCCCAGGGGATATTTAACAATATCTGAAAACATTTTTGATAGTCACAACTAGGGCAATGCTGGTGGGTAGAGGCAGGGAGGCTGCTGCTAAACATCCTACAAATACATAGGACAGCCCCCCACAACAAAGAATTATCTGGCCCCAGATAGCAGTAGAGCCAGTTTTATAAACCCTGCTCTAAAGAAACAGGAGAACCATACCTATGCAAATGGGACTTTTAATTCAGTACCTTAAAATAATCGTAGGTTTGCATAAGGTTTTAAAAATAAATATAACAGCTCACTTTCACTTGATATCTTCGTTTAAAACACATATAATTGGAGTAAGGGATAATCCCATGTTTCCCTATTAATGTTAAAACTCAGTTTATCCATAAAGGCTGTGGGATAGTGATATTCCTTCATAAGCCTCTGTTTCTTCCTGTATTATCTGAAATTTATACTCTTTAATATGTATGTTTCTGGCTCTGTTTATCTGTATTGCCCTTAATTTTTAAATTTAGATCAAGTTGCCTTTGATATAAAAAAGGTTCTCCATTCTTGTTAAGCAGAGTGAAACAAGTTGGTGATCCTTCCCCTGCCAAACAGACCTCCTGAGACTATTCTTTTCTAGAGAGGGTCCAGAAGCAATTGTAGAAACAGTGCGGCTAAAGTTAAGGATATTGGTGAGAAATTTAATGAGAATTTGATTTTTTATCTTTTAGTCACAGATTCACTAATCCTGCTAGAATTCAGTCTTCAAGGAGTAAAATAATATCAAAGAAGGATTTAGTTTCTAGATTTAGTTGAAATTTGGGGATGCATATGCTTTGAATATCAAAAGCCTAAAATATAATTTAGCAAGGTAGCATGAGTCAAAATGTTAAATGCCCTTATGAGCTATAGAGTCTTATGACCCAATAAAGGGAAAGAACTAGATTATCTTTGTTTCTCATTCACCTTAAACAGAATATTTAAGTATGCATAGTGCCCCCAATGCAGTGTATTTTTCCTTTATTTTTAGTTAAGTTATTTAACTTTTTGAAATAATATGTGCAAATGATGCATAATTCAAAATCTGTGAAAGCGTAACCAGGTGAAGTCATATTATGCGCTGCCGCCCAGCCGTCCCATAACCCCTTTCCTGGAGGCAACAATTTTTACCAGTTTCTAGGGTTTCCTACTAGAAGTATTCAGTGCATAGAAACATATCTATATGTGTGTGTTCCATACATACATATTTATATAAAATTTTTTCTACTATTCTGTACCTTATTTTTTAAACTTAACATATCTTGAGTTAATTTAAGCAAGCATAGAGCTGCCTTGCTTTTAGCTTCCTAAAATACATTGTTTTTGTTACCAAAGCAAGTGGCTGGGGTGGCACTTCTGAGAGGGATTTGGTGGGTGTCCCCTAGTGTTTCCACTCCACCCCTGAAAAATGTCCTTTATTGTACGTATTTCTATTCTAGTTAAGCTATAGTTTTCGTAGTAAAATTTCGTGAGGATAATATTTTCTGATGGCCCTGCACAGTGGGGAAATATGTCTCAGAGAAGAGCCCCACATGATGGGTGTTCCCTATAGGGGCAAGAGAAACCAGGATGAGTTGTCTGTTCTTCAAGTCTGGCCCTTATCCTTTCCTTTGCCACCCTGATTTCCAGCCTCATCCATCAGTACACCTGATTTCTGACTCCTGCCACCAAGAAATCTGTGCCATGGAGAGTATGAAGTTATGTCTTTACAATCTTATTTAGGATCCAGAACTCAGTCTTCAAAGGTTGATATTATTAGCATTAATAATATTTTAAGATCTAAAGTAACTTCATGTTCACAACAGCTTAAAAGAAAAACTCATCCACCTGGATTAAATCTGCTCCCCAGGAAGCATAAAGAACCTGCTTCCTTGGATTTAATCTAAGATTAGATTAAATAGGGCTTCCTTGCTCCCTTAAAATTTGATTACACTTTTTCCTAACAAATTTGGAAAAAATTTAACTCTTAAAAATATTAAACTCTGTAGTTGCAAAATGTATTACTCCATTATAAAGGACAGATCTTTTTTACAGTAGAAAATAGGAAATGATAGGGACAAAGTTAGCCCAGTGAACATATTTAACATCTGCATATTCCTAAAGTACTTTTCTAAATTATTTGTTTCTTGAGATTAGTCAACATCAAGAAAAACAATTGTTTTATAACAATAATTTTGTCTCATTGTTTTTTAAATTAGATTGTGTATAGCTACCTAAGTTGTGGTTTCATTTTACTCACCAGACCATATTAAGCAGTAGAACCATTAGAAATTGGTGACAAACAACACTGCTAACTGGGCATTGGCAACACTAATAGGTATTTGTTGCTGACTGTGCAACAAAAAGGCCAAAAGCTTTAAAACATAATGCCTGAATTTTTTGCTTGTTCTATAGTAGGTACCTGAAAAAAATCCATGTTTGCTTATGTAACATCATTTGGTGTGATCATTTGCCCAAAATGAAGTCTGTATAATATAAAATAATATACCTAAATGGTGCAAAGCGATCAAGAGTGCTGTTGTTTCTTAAGCTGATGTATTACTTAAGCAAATGTTATTTTTCATTGTATTGCTGGAGTTATTTCTTCTGGAAAGGGTTCCTAACTGACTTTTTTAAAACTCTGAAAGTTTCGTTGATTGGTTAACACACACACAAAAAAAATAGAGACAAATGTCAGGTGAAATGTTTATCCAGGGCACTGTCAGTATTGTTGGGGGATAGTTTTCACCTGGAGAAGATTTCTCATTCAGTTAATAATGGAAGTTTCAACTCTTCATGTACAATGACTAGTAATCTATACTCACATTACACTGAAGAAATATTTCTGCCTCCAGAGAAAGTTGAAGGGCAATGAACATCTGAGCAATACACTTTCAAAAAGCAAAAACATTTTCTTGGAAAAGGTAGCCTCTCTGTAAATAGTTTATGTTCACTAAGAAGGGTATTTCTTTGGTAGCACAGAGGAGCAGGCTGTTTGCTCAAACACTGGGCTGTGGAATCACTTTTACCTGGACACTGGGCTTTCTGATATCTTTTTAGAAACATTTTAGCAAATAATATACTCCTTTGTGTTTACATGCAAAACTCAAAGAAGGTTACCCACCCTCCCCAACTTTAACCTATCTCTCTGGGTATTCAGAAACAGGACAGAGATTTTATGTTTTGGAATATTATCCGTGATAAGAGAGAACCACTCTGACAATTTACTAATCATCCCAGAGATCTGAGGTTCTTTCTACTAGCTGATTTTATTTTTTATTTATTTGTCTGTTTTATTGAGACAGAATCTCACTCTTTTGCCCAGGCTGGAGTGCAGTGGTGCAATCTCGGCTCACTGCAACCTCCGCCTCCCAGGTTCAAGCGATTCTCCGGCCTCAGCCTCCTGAATAGCTGGGATTACAGGCATGTGCCTCTATGCCTGGCTAATTTTTATATTATTAGTAGAGATGGGATTTCACCATGTTGACCAGACTGGTCTCAAACTCCTGACACCGAGTGATCTGCCTGCCTTGGCCTCCTGAAGTGCTGGGATTACAGGCATGAGCCACTGTGTCCAGCCTCTACTAGCTGATTTTAAATCAGAGTAAGATAAATGGTGCTTATTTATATGTACCTTTTCTCCAATTCCTTCTAACTAACACGGAGAGGAACAGAGAATTGTCAGAATAGTAACTATGGTGATAATGGTATGCAGCACTCATTCAGCACTTACTGTTACCTGGCACTGTGCCAGGAACTAGACATTATCCTTCTAGTATTTCACCCATTTTCAGAAGAGAATCAGAGGCTTAAGATTATATAGCTAGTAGGCAATAGAGTTGGAATTGAGCCCCTATCTGACTCTAGCTAGTGCCCTTAATTGCTATTGTAAATGACTAGGAATCGTATTTGTGAGGATTCGGTAGGTTTAAAGAAGGACTTTCTTAATCCTAATGTTCAGAATTGTCCTAAAACTTACATAAAAGGCTAGCCTAGCTTTATTGTAATGTTAGGCTTCAGGGATATTATGTGACCTGTAATATATACAGATTTTTGACAAGTGGCCCACGTTTTAACAGATTTGACCAACTCTTCTTATAAGCTTCCTTTGTGCCAAATTTTCATTGTTTTTTGAAATCACCAAACCTTGTTACTAATGTTGTGTTTTGGTTTGTTTTACAGTGATCCTTTTCTGTATGGCTGCCCTAATATTTCCAATAGGATTTTACATCAATGAAGTCGGAGGTCAACCTTATAAATTACCCAACAACACAGTAGTTGGGTCATCATATGTACTTTTTGTCTTATCAATTTTCTTTACAATAGTAGGACTTCTATTTGCTGGCAAAGTTTGTTTACCAGGCTGATGAATGTCTAAATTGCTTGACTCTTACTATTTTTTATTTTATTTTTTTATTTTTGGAGGGTGGGGAGGACAAAGGTGAGGCATCTGAGCAACCCTCTCATAGGAAGATGCTCAGATGAAACTGATGCTGAGAAGGAAAAAAATGCTTTCATTTGTTCTCACTATGCACTTTGGATTTAAAAAAAAAAAAAAGGAGAGCCTTTTCCATAACCAAATACAGACAATATTGACTAAATCTCCTGAGCATATTCAGGCAGTCAGGTCTGCACTGTGATAGCAACCTAGAAAAGGAGAATGCTTTATATTGAAAAGCATGTGGCCCTTTGTGACTCTATTGTTCCGTTTTTAATGTCTAATGATTCATTAGTGAAAAAAAAAAAAAAAGGTCTAAGTATTTATGTATCATGGTGGACCAGAGGGATGCAAGAGAAGTTCATGTGGGGCTGGCCTCACCTCCTAAGAAATGAGTGTTCACAACTTCCTTGTAATAGTATGAGCCTTTGGCACCAGAATGGATTGCCATTTCATTACTGCACCAAGAAGCCAATAGATCAAAACTTGTTTGCTAAAATGTGTGTAAAAATTCTGAAATTCCCTCTTCTCTGTGTACAAAAAAATCACTAAGACACATGTTTTGGGTGGGCGGGTGGGGGAAATCTTCCTTATATTTATATAAATATATATAATATATATATTTTGCTGATGCAGTATACAGTGTGTATATATGTGTGTGTGTATGTGTGTGTACATTTATATACACACACATGCAAACAGTTCCTGGAAGAGAATTCTGAATGCTTTGCTAGCAAAACACTGTGGTGTGCAAACCTAGAACTCAATAGAAAAAAAAGCCATTTATCTGAAGGCTGCATAGTGGAGAGAGTCTTCAGTTTACCTCATTCTTTGTAGCAGCCCTTGATTTTAACAGGTTTTTGTAATAGGTACAAATAACCCCATACCTTTCTAGGTGCAATTTTAATTTAAGCTAAAACTTCTTCATAGGGTTAATTTATTTGTACATGATAGTAGAAGGTAAGATCATGTCAAACTTTATAATTTGGGGAATCTGACACTATTTAAATTATTGGCAACTGTTGTCTATTGTACAGAGATTCTTTTTCTACTGGCTCAGTCTGTTACATTAATAATGCATTTTATATGTTCAAGCACACAACTTTACATAAATACAAAGTTCACTAGTAAATATCTGGCTGTTTTGGCTATTTAAAACACTAATTTCATTATTAACATCTGTAAGCATTATTAATACATCTTTACCAAAACCTGAGCAATACAATGTTTTCTTTATATGTTATATGCCTTTGCTTGCTAAAAGGTAGTATTTTCGCATTTACTTTAAAGGGCTGTACTAAACCCACAGCTTTAAGTTTTTCCCTAAAAGAAGCATTGCAGCTAACCCTTGAACTCAAAAATAGTTTTAAAATACAGTATTTCTCTTCTCCACATTTCCATGCCTTCACATCGATGCTTGTTTTTCCTGGTGAACACTATAGAAATTCTCCTGTTTGAAATGTGGAACAGGAGGGTGTTTCATGGCAATGGAGCTAAGTTTTTCCTCTTTATAGTGAACTGGTGACCCAAGTATCCCTATCAGTAGAGTCCCATGTGGCCCATGCTTTACACAAGCAGAAATGAATGCACTGTTTTTTAAGAGCCAGATTATCAATTATAGAATAATTACTTCAGAGATGGGAGCAACCTCCTCAGATTCAAACTATGAAATGGAGGGGCTTGATATGTTTTGCACTGGCTCATTTGACAGTCTTCCATCTTACTGTTAATTCAGCAGTATTTTATTGTGAAAGAAAACCCCAGTGCTTGAGCTCACTCATGAGTTGGGAAAGAGATGGACCACCACAGTGGTGCATTCCTTAAGTGTTCTGGGAGAATGTCATTCTTTTCCTTCCCAAAGTAAAAGAAACCTTTGGGAGATCCTGAGGGAGACTATTTTTCCCAAGTATTATGATGTCTAGTCAAGTCTAAGAATACCGCTGGACATGTTCTGTGGACATTAGGGATTGCAGTTGCCATTGTGATTTGATTGGTCCTCAGTCAAATGGATCACTTTGAAGGAAAGCTTTGGTTGTCACCGTTATATACCACTGAAATAAAGTGTTAGCAAAGTATGGTTCAAATTAATTTATGATATGACCAAGAGCTTTTCTCTTCCAAAAGATGAATTGTAATGTAAATAGTTTCTCAAAATATTTTTAACTGGATCATGAGCATGGGGAGAGAAAGTTTCTCAGCTGCTAAGAATTTCCCCACTGTTTACTTCTTTCACTTATGGTGGTATTGCATTTAAGATTACAAAATTTAAGGTTTTATTTGTATCTATTACCCAAACCATTAAATTGTCTTTAATTTCATCACTGTCTTGGAGGTCCAGTGTGTACAGGGCTGATGGGGGAAAACTCCCTCCAGCCAGTTAGCACTCTAACCCAGGATTAAACCATCCCATTAAGTAGTATGTGAAGTCAAGTCTTCGTACTCTTTCAGACCAGACATTGAAATGGACTCATTCATATAAATTTCTATAAATCCTGTAAATGAAAAGATAGACAACTGTCAGCAGTTGCTTTTTAAAAAGGTCACTATAATAAGTACTATATAGTACAGTATTAATTTATAGCAGGAAATCATATCTTGTAAACTGTATATAAAACACTTTTATGGTGCAATCATTTGTCAAACTTTTGTCTGTTACATTGTTTTTAGAGTGTGTGCATTCTTCTCATACCTAAGAATATCACTGTAAAATCTGCTGAAAACTATTTTTAGGTTTTATTTGCACAAGACTGAATTAGTTTGAAATTTTTGGAAGCTCCTATTGAACATGCCTAAATATCTGTAAACATGAAAAATCTTCAATTCATTAAAAGCAAACATTTCAGTATGATTCTTTCCAAAGGTAATCCATGTTCTATGTTGTTAATGTGTGTATGTAATTTTTCTGACTCTTCCACCTCTTATAAACCTATTTTCTGTTTCATTTGTTTGGTTTTTGAAGGATGGCTCTTTTTTCTTTTTAATGTTCGAGATGACCAAAACACTATTGGTTTTTACCCTTTTGCCAGAAGCTTTGATATCCCCACTTGATGTTCTGTGAATTCACTGTTTAATCTATTAAGTGAAAATAATAAATAGTCCTGGTGACAAACAATCTGTTGATTTAGAGGAAAGGCCCTGAAAAATACAGTATTTGGAAACTAACTTTGCATATACTGTTAGCTATTATTTTGCATCGTGGGCTTCATGAGAAGAACATGTTGCATTTATTTTGTCTTTATTAAAAGACTACTAGCCACAAGTTACTCTGATTGTAGTAACTTTTATCAACCCACTTGATCTTTAAAAAATTAAATTTACATTCACAATTCAAAACAGTAACCTGTCTTTCAGAAAATTTTTGAAGGATAAAAACATGAAGGAAAAAAGTGGCCTGTGTAGGTAGGATTCCCTACACAGGACTTTTAGTTGTATCACCTCAAGAAATTTTGAAGTTTGTGATCAAGGTCTGTATATTATCCCAAACTTTATTAAGAATTGTTTTCTAATTGGTTATAACATTTTTCAATTAATAGTTTCAAAACAAATTGTTAATACAACTGTATAAAATGAACATAATTTTCTTCACTTGTATTTTTGTTATTGAGCAAGTTTATCAAAATAAATTGTCTACTAAAGAAACTAAAAAGACTTCTATTACTTTGAAATAAGCTTCACTTAAAAAAATTGATTTCTTATAGAGGTTTCACATATTCACAAGTGACACTTCCATGCCTTTTGGGTTGGTTTTGTTGTTGGCATTGGGGGGTGAAGGCGGTCCTTCCCTATCTTCTTCCACACTCACCCTTTGCTCACCACTAGAGAAGAGATGCCATTAATATTCCAGGACATGGATTAGGCCATGTTTACCAGTAAGAGTCACTTGGCAATAAAAGATGACATATATATGGCTCTCCCTTCGGCATCATGCTTCATGAGCTAGGAGAGAGGAGCCAAGCCAAAGCCCCCAAGCCAGCCATCTTTCTCTTCTTTCTTCCTTGCACATAGACCTAAGTCCATCTTTGCTTCAGTCTTCTGTTTCTATTTTCTCCAGGCAAAAAGATCTTAGCTTTTAAGATCTTAAAGTATGGATTAGAGGAGCAAATACAGAGGCCCATGTGCCCTATCACAGCTTAACTATAGCTCTCTGTGGGGGTGTCAAGATCAGCCCAGCCCAATAATAATTAATAATAAAATATTTACAGTTTGCTGCTGATTCTTCCTCGTTGGCCTTTTCAGGAACCTCGTGGGGAATTGGAGGATTAAGACATGGTAAGATTTTAGATGTTCTTGGGCTCTAAGATTGAGGGGTTTCCTTGGAGGTGAGACTTGAAGTGCAATGTCTGGGAAAGTTCCAGGCAAACTAGGATGAGTTGGTCACCCTGCCCTGTCTTCACACCATCTAAATCTTATCCTGATTGTAACACCGATTAGAGGTTTTGGGAGGGTTATTTTCTATAAATATTAATGAATAAGTCAATTGGAAATTGTAATGGTAGATTTATACTGAGCTATGGTGGAGGGAACACTTTTTAAATTTGGTAATACCTTAGGAAAAGGTAACACAGTGGCTTTAAAAACAATAACGTAAGTTCAAAAATACCTTATTTTGACTTATATTCTTCTATCATCTCTATTCTAGCCACTGTGAGAAGATTATAGGAAAAACACCAGGACTAGAGGACTCTGGGTTCCTTTTATGCAAAGTCAACTCTTCTGGGTCACAGTTACCCAGCAACAAAAATAAAGGTAGTTATTTATAAATGGCGTTAAAGATAGAAGGCACAATGTATATTTTTTAAGAGTTTTGGTTCTTTTCCCAGGAGAAGAAAACACTGTGGGTTGGTATTTTCAAGCACATTCTTACAAATCAGCCCCAATTCCAGTCACATACAATCTAAGACCACCCAAGATAACAATTCAAGAAGAGATTTTTCACGAGACTATAAAATGTTAGAGCTGGATGAAATGTCAAAGGGCATGTTCAATGTTTTCATTTTCCAGGTGAAGTAATCAAGGCCTCAGACTTTGCCAAAGTCACCCAACTAGATCTCAGCAGAGCACTCGACATAGGAAAGAATGTCTTTGACATGTGGGCCTTGGACTTAGGACCAGTATTCATATTCTCTAGCCATTGAACCAGTCTTCCTTCAGCTGATCTTCATTCACTCCGATACATCCAAATTAATTCTGCCAAAATACTCTTAACACAAAAGCAAGCATATTATTTCCATGTTCACATTTATGTCATTCCCGCTGTCTGCAGAGAGAAATCCAAACTCCTTTAGCATAGCTTTGACAACCTTTTGTGATCTGACTTCAGGCTCTCTGTTCAGTCTTATTTCCCACCTCTCTCTCTTCACTTCGTACTGACAACCAGCCTGTTCTCCATTCTCCATTCACTGCCACCTGCTCCTGGCCCTGGCTGTGTCTGTACCACCTCCTCTCAGTTTTAAAATCATCACATATTTGAAATATATCTAATCTTTTATGCTTTGTGTCTCTCTTGCTTATGCTTCTGTAACAGAACTTGCTAAACAGGAATCGA